AAGAGTCTTCATTTTTCTCACAAATATTTTTCTAATTTTAGGTAAAAGTGAAATTTTGCTTTAAATCAAGCATTTGACTATTATATGTATTGATAGGGTTAAATTATGATTTTTATTTTAAATTGGTCTTTAAACTTTAAGACATTTCAATTTCATCCTAAATCATGAATGAATATCTATTAGACCCCTTTGTTAACAAAACTATTAACTGCCATGTCAATTAACTCCTTTCTTTTCAAATATTTTCCTTTTTCTTTGAAAAAAAATGGCGCAAACATAATTCAAGTGATGACATGATAAGAATGACCATGGATAATAACGTAATGCATTGTTATACTGTATTAAAAACAATACGTCAATGACGTGTAACAATTATTTTCTTTTATACGTTATCTATACAGTATTTTGCATGAGATTCTCTTTCATTCCTCATATTTTGATGGATTGATCATATTATTGAAGTTTAATGGATGGATAGGAAGGATTGCTTCTAAAATAAAGATTGACACGTGGATTTCTCTCTCTCTCTCTCTCTTTTAAAAAAAAAATCCATCACAAGTTTTATTTCTCAAACGTTCGAAAGTGTCTTTATCAGAACTTATATCAGTATGTTTGTAGGGTTTGAATTATTGAGACGAATTTTTATCATCAGCCCCTGTATTATCTATAAATTATAGATATTGTGTTTATATTTTAAGTCAGTCAAATTTAATTTATATGATCTTATTTTATTTATTTTTAGACATGATTTAAATAATTTGAAGATAATTTAATTTTTTTTTGAAATGTTGAAATTAAAAAAAAGTATATAATTTACGTGGAATGTTAGAACTAAAAATGAATTTTAAATGTTAAAAGATACGTGCATGTGTTAGAAGGGATTACATTAGAAGAAACTAATTTAATTTATTATTTTTTGATTAATCTTGGTTAAGAATGAGGGAGTATCTGTTTAAGAATAACTTTCAACTATTTGACATTGAACGCTCAAACCCTGCGTTCCTTGTGCTTGAACCCGAGACCTCAAAGAATAACAACAATTCGTTTACCACAAATTTCGCTTGGTTAGTATAATTTAATTTGTTGTTTAAATACTACATAAGGATTAATACAATGAACGTCATCGATTTTTATGTTTGAAATAATGGCATGCAACCCTTTGTAGTAGGTCTTAAGATTTTGACTCGAAAACAGGGGAAGTGTTTTGTATAGGATGATTTGGTGATGGATGGCTGGATTTCTTTTCCTGTTAAGATAAGAACAACACTTATGAAATCAAAGTTTCGAATTTTAATACGTAAGAGAAGTAAATCGAATTAAAAAAAATACTTTTATTGATGTATAATTAGTGAGAAGGAGGGTTTTAATGTCTAAATGTGGTTTATCAATTTGGATTTAAATGAAAAATTGTTGAAAAAGAGTTTAAAATTATAAGTCTGTGATAATTTATGTGTTTTAATTAAGATAAAGAATCATTAATTTTATTCCTTCAAAACTGTGTTCGAATGATTTTTCTGCTATTTAAGTGTTCAAAGGAGAATAAATGGGGGTGTAATAATTTGGGTATTGATTTAATAAGTCCCTTAACTATTAAAAGTTACAAAATAGTCTTCTAACTATATAATGTTGCTTTATTAAGTCTCTTAACTATTAAAAGTTACAAAATAGTCACCCGACTATTCATTATGTTCCAAACTCGTCCTTTTTTCCTTAAAAATTGAAGGTTGTCTAAGCTGGACATTAACATAATGATTGAGTTATGATAGTTGTTTGAGATTTTAGGATCGGATTTTATCATATCACAGTCAAAAGGGTAACATTTAGCCGAGAATACCGTCAATCTTTTAATAGAAAAGGGCCAGTTTGGAGCACAATGAATAGTCGAGTGACTATTTTGTAACTCTTAATAGTTGTGGGACTCAACAAAGCAACACTCTATAGTTGAAGGACTATTTTGTAATTTTTAATAGTCGATGGATTTAATAAAGCATTATCCTATAGTCAGGGGACCATTTGTATATTTAACCCAATAAATTTTTATAATATTTTATTTAAATTAATAAAATTAAGTTATGAATGGTTATAAATACAGTAAATGTTATATAAAAAAAAGGGTGAACTACAAAGTTTTTGTCACTTTATTTTTTTATTTTTTTAAACATATGGTCATTCGATCCAGAAATGTCAATACGTGGTCACTTTTCTTCATATGTTTTATTCCCAAATCAAAAATGGAAAATCCAAAAAATCAAACCTCCAAATTTAATTTTAATCCCGTCACCATTCCATCGATCACCAGCCATCGTTCGGTCACCGGTGACCGTCATCGCCGATGTTATCGTGAGCTCCTGATCACATCGATCAAAACCTAGTGAGAGTGTCTCGTAAGCCACTGTCGTTCGAAGTGAAAGCCAGAGAACTCAAAACCACCACACTGTTATCAACAAATTTTGATCGATCCAGTCACTGTTAGGTCTCATCGTCACCATCCATGTGCTCCGTGACGTCTTACAAATCAAACCCAATCGATATGAATATCTCTGTCACCGTCGTGGAAGGGGTGAAGCATGGAGGTTTCGGGTTTGTTGATAAACATATAGAAAGAATGGGTAAATTGATATTTTATCCCTGAACTATTCTGGATTTACAAAAAGACCCATAATTAATAATTTATCTCAAGGGTTCAAATAAAAATTAAACTTTTTACTAACGTGTTATATCATCTAACTCACGATAATTAATGTCTCAATGACTAAATCTTAATTAAAATAAAATAAAAATATTAATCGAGTGACCATAAATTTTAAAAAATGAAACAAAAGTGATAAACTCTAATTTACCTAGAAAATATGTTGAATTGTCGTAATGAGATAAATTTACCAGCATTTTCAAAATCTTGTGGCTTGACCGTTCGACATGTAATTCTCGTATGTCCATGTCCCTGGATCCTTTCAACAACATATCTTATTGTTCCTTTATCACCTTTCCAGTTAATCAATGGTTTCCGGCTATGGCCTTGTATTTTTCCTTCAAATTTTAGTCTATTTAAAATCTATCTCCAATTCCCATTATTTCCATGCATATGAACATTGCTTTGATGGGTTTAATTCTTCTACTTTTTTAATTCATTCATATAGCCAGTAAAAGAATTTATTACTGTTCATAGCAAATCCATCTTTTAATGGATTTTGGCCATTTTGAGTGTAAACATTTATGATTTTTTTTTATCCTTAACTCGAACTCACTCAAGCTGTCTTTTTGTGCTGTGGAAATGACAAGTTCTCTTTATCAGTTTTCTTTCTGAATCTGGGGTTGTTAGGTGTAGATGCAAAAAGTTGCCGGTTTTTCCACCTTTATCTTTGTGTTTTAGGGTTTCAATGGCATTCTTTTAATGGAAACAAATTCTGGGCAAAACACACTGGGAAATTCTTAAGTTGGTATTCGAGTTTTTTCTTTTTGCGTCTGCAATTCGTGGTTTCCAAAAATGGGGCATTCTGCAGCAGCCGTGTGGGATCATAAGGCAGCAACTGAGATTACAAAGGATTGTGATGGGTTCTATAAGGTTCTTAAGAACTCTAGAGGTGCTTCAGCAAAGGTGAGATTTCGCATTTGGTATTGAGATCAATGTTAATAATTTTCATTTGTATTAGTGGAAATTACAGAACAATTTTGTGTTGATTTTGTTTGTTAATAGGTTAGCTTACATGGAGGACTGGTCACTTCTTGGAGAAATGAACAAGGGGAAGAGCTTCTGTTTACTAGTAGCAAAGTAAGCGATTCCAGTTCATCTCTTTGAATATTTCAGTTCATCTCTTTGAATATTTATGGCCTTTTTAAGGTAAATTTTTTGATATGGCTGAAGATTATCGAGTATTTCGTGAATTTTAGGCAATGTTTAATCCTCCGAAAGCGGTTCGAGGCGGAATCCATATTTGTTTCCCACAGGTAGTCTGTCTCCCTGTCATTTTGTAAATGTAATTATATGGAATGTTGACTGTTGCTTGTGGATGTCTTCAATGCTTGTTTAAGTTTGGTAATTGCGGGTCACTCGATCAACATGGATTTGCTAGGAGCAAGATTTGGACGATCGATGACGATCCTCCACCTCTCGGTCCGAATGATTCCCGTGGTGAATCCTTCATCAACCTATTGCTTAAACCATCCGACGAAGATCTCAAGTGCTGGCCACACAGGTACGTGCTCTGATGTGTACATGCTTCATGCTTGTGAAACACTTTTTTAGGGAATCTTGATTCGGTAGTTGTTGACTGCTGCATTAGTTGTTATTGTTGTCGATATGTTGCTAACAGAGTTCTCCTGGTGCAGTTTTGAGTTTCGATTGAGAGTGTCACTCGCAGCAGATGGAAGTCTGTTGTTAATATCACGGATAAGGAATGTCAACGGGAAGCCATTTAGTTTCTCTTTTGCGTATCATACGTACTTGTCGGTTTCTGACATAAGGTAAGTTGCATTACCTGATGAAATGTTAAAGCTTCTCGTTAGATGTCATATTAATAAGCTGCGTCCACAGCGAAGTGCGGATAGAAGGGCTGGAGACGATTGACTACCTCGACAACCTCTGCCAGAAAGAACGTTTTACGGAACAAGGAGATGCCATAACTTTTGAATCCGAGGTACATGATTTTGCATATTACTTTGAAGTGTGCCATTTTGCCAATGATCATTGTCGGACTTTGTTTCATGTTGGCTTCGAAATAATATCGATTGTATTATGTCCGAAGTTGTGAACAATTGAAATGTTCTTCAAATGATCTTACAGGTAGATCGAGTTTATCTTAGTACTCCGAACATAGTCGCTGTACTTGATCATGAAAGGAAACGGACGTATGCCATCCGAAAGGAGGGAGTACCCGATGTAGGTAAGATCAAGTATTTCCCGACGAAATTGCTAAACGCAAAGTTCGCTCGACTACATAATTTTACTCGGGTTTTGTTTGTATACAGTGGTGTGGAATCCGTAAGAGAAGAAATCAAAAGCAATGGTGGATTTCGGAGACGACGAGTACATGCAGATGGTCTGCGTCGATGGAGCAGTGATCGAGAAACCCGTGACGTTGAAACTGGGGGAGGAGTGGACAGGGAAGCTGGAGCTGTCGGCTGTAGCATCAACTTTCTGTAGTGAGTACTTTTGATGTTCAGAGCAGTGGGTTGTGATGAATTGAGCCATGTTATTATGAGTTTGTTTAGGACAGGCAGGTAAAGTTGAGCACTGAATTGAGCGTATGTAGGAAACTCATAAATTCCCTTGTCTGAGAACATAAATGTAGCTGTAAACAGGAAGAGAGCCTTTGCTTTTCAATAATGGCTGCTAAAACTTTTTAACACCTTTTATGTGTTAAAATTCAGTGTTTAATCTCTGTAAACTACGTATTTAGTACTTAAACTATTAGTTTTGACCTGTTTTAGTATCTAAACTTTTAATTTTTTTAAAGTCATATATAAAGTTTAGTTTTTGTTTCATTTTAGTACACCGTCGTCAAAAGCTTAACGCGTTTAGTACCTAAACTATCAATTTTGGTCCGTTTTAGTATTTAAACTTTTAATTTTTTTCAAAAGTTAATGTTAGATTTTGAACGGAGTATTAAAATGAAACAAACACCCTAGGTATGCTTTTGAAAAAAATTAAAAGTTTATATACTAAAATGAAGTAAAACTGATAGTTTAAGTACTAACCATGTAATTTACCCTTAATTTAATAGTTACTAAGATTTATAATTGTAATTTCTTTTTTTAAAAATGTGAAATTTAAAATTAAATTGGAAGTTATTTCAACCAATAAGAAAGGAGTAAAGGTATGTATATTCGGAATTCAGTTTGTCGTGTAATATTCCCACTGTTCTCGAATCACACATGGAAGGTACGGTGAGACGACGAAAGGTGAGACGACGTCGTTTTACTGGAATCTTTGGCATTAGAATAAAATTAATGCAACAAAGATGGGAATTTCGGTTAAGAAAATAACTCGAATTTCCGTTTGGTTTTGTTCAGAAAACAAGTCCTGAATTGATGAAGAAGGAATGTATCGAATCAACCGTTCTAAGTAGCCATAAATACTATTATTATTTCACTTCTCATTATTTTCCATAATTTTTGTATTAATAATTATTTATGCCTCGACCTCCCATGCCCTGGACCCGACCTCCCAACTATTGGAATAAGGGGATTCAAATAAAATTGTTAGAATCAACGATAATACGAGTGATGGTTGTAGAAGGTCTTTTGCGTGACTTTGGGGAGAATGGATCCCCAGATTTACGTGACGTTGTTCGATTTCTATTACTGAACTTTGAGGTGTGAGGTGTGTATCATCTTTCATTGCATGATTGAAGATTAGGGATCCGTTATATGGAACTCGAAACAGATAATCTCGAGGTTTTAAAGATTTGTGATCACTCGTCGGATGCATTAGCGGGGAACGGAATCAGGGTGATGGGCTTGTTACCATCTCTTTGGTAAAAATTAATAAAAAATATCAAATATATATATATATATATATAGTTTTTCTCATTTGTGGTGTGCCAATCATGTTTATTCTTTTCATTTTTATTTATAGGTGGCAGTATCAAGGTTGGTTGTCGACCGTCTGTATATTTTTATTATATTTTTATTTTTTATATTGTATTTTTATTTTTCTCTTATTTTTAATTTTCAATAAGTTTACTTTTATGACACGTTTTCATCTGCCTTCATAATATGTTTTTCTCTGTGTTTTGGCAAGTTTTCAATAATATGTTTTTCTCTGTGTTTTGACAAGTTTTCAGTTGTTTGATCGTTGTTTTTCATTTATCTTTTCTAAAGATTGATTCGACATCACCATGATTGATGGAGATGACATTTATTTGTTATTATGTTGATATTCCCTACTTTGGACACTTGGATTGAATTTGAATACTTAATTTTCGTTCGTGGATAGTGTTTTCACATCGCTTGACTCTGATTTACGATTTTATCGGTGATCTTTCAATAGCTTGATCCCTTTTAAGTTTCATTTTCCGATGCGATCAGATTGTTTGTATATATCATTGTTCGAGTTTTGGTTAAGTTTTTTAATATTTCCTTGTATGGTTCTTATGTGATCTTAAGTTACTAATCTTATTTCAATAATTTAGAAAAATGTCCTAATTATGTGCTTAATTTATAATTATACTTGTAAATCTCAATTGTATTTCTAGATATTTCCCTTTTTGATAAAATTAGTGGCTTCTATAAAAAATATTTTAATAAATGTATCAAAGCTGAACAAATTTCACCTAAATTCAACCTCGATCCTATTCAAAATTTTACTCTAATCTTTAATTAAACAAATTTATTCTGATCGAATTAAATTAAGTCAAAACTCATCGTGGTCGGAAAAAATTTACCATCCCTTAACAACTAGTAGTTGACAATTTCCTTCATTGATTACAATTATATTAAATTTGAAACCAATTCAATAAACGGCTAACTGAGCTAAGGTATTATTCAGGGTAATTTGTTATGTACTCCTATAGAATAGCAATTGTTGACATTTTGACTCTCCTGTTAATCTCTAGTCTCTTGCACTTGCCTCTCCTATAACCCTTTAATTTTTGCTTTGAAAATATCAGCTGTTTTACTTTTCTTCTCCCCCATAAAAAGAAAAGGTTGCCATCTTTGATGTTAAAGTTTAGGATATGAATACAGCAGAGCAAACGGCAGTTACCAACAAGGCGTTGAGAAAGCTGCCTTCAATGGAATCCAATGCCAATGCCAATGCCTCCAAGATCGTGAGGGTTCGAGTAACCGATGGCGATGCCACGGATTCTTCTTCTAGCGACAAAACCGAGCACCGGAGAGCTAAAAGGCAATTACACGACATCAGGGTCGATGACTGTTCCGCCTTCAATGTCACCAAGCAAAACAAGCAGGCCAACAAACAACAGCAACAATGTTTGTCGAACGGTGTGAAGTACCGTGGTGTTCGAAAAAGGCCGTGGGGAAAATGGGCGGCTGAGATCAGAGACCCCGCGAGGCGAACCAGGGTGTGGCTCGGGACTTTCGACAAAGCCGAAGATGCCGCGTTGGTTTACGATAGAGCAGCTGTTCGAATCAAAGGCCCTAACGCTCTTACCAACTTCGAATTGGAAATGATTCCAGGGTATAATTCTGGCCAAGAATCTCAGTCCCTTTCGTCGCCTACATCTGTTCTCAGGTTGGCTGAGCTTCGAATCGAATCGAAAGATAATAACTCGCCGGAGCTCACGGGAAAAGAGTGCAACCGGACCAGTGACTTATCAGATGAGTATTTTTTAACGGATGCGGGAGCTTCATTTGATTACTTCGACTATGATAACTCAGCGCCGATATTTTTCGAACAAATGATGCTACCAGAAGACAGTGTTTTGGAACAAGATTGCTCCGACATTTCCATTAAACTCGATGATGATATCGGTTCTTGTTCTTGGGATGTCGATAATTACTATTAATCTCGCTAAAAACATGCATGCCTGGAATGTTTAGATGCTTCCCTGTTGCTTGCTGGTTAGGGCAAGGTTTCAGATTTTCAGTTTGCTTCGTGATGATTTATTATTAATAAAACTTTTAACCGATCAAATCCCATGATGAAGCAAATGGAATGGAGAAGAAGAAACAAAACAAGAAAGAACCAATCAAACTCTCATAAAACAAATGCAAAACAAGAAACAAGTTCATAGATTTATCCGCATAGCATTTTCCATTGCCACCATTACATAAACGAATCTCTCAATCACTAAGCTAGAGAATTATTCTAAAAGAAGCTGTAGGATGATGATGCATCTAGTGGGTGGATGAGATATGTGAGCATCAGTGCCACAAGCATCAGCACGTAAGCAATCCCTTGGTCAATTGATGTTCCTGCTCCAAGTTAACCGAGTCTAATTATTAACCGTCAAAACAGCAACATTTTCCCCCCAGAAAAGACGCATCTCAGAAGAAGACATTACTGAGATGGTGTCTTTTTTTTAAGTATGTCTTGAGGCATTTGCAAACGGAAACAAGAAAAATACAGAAAATGAAGCAAATAAGAGAGATCTAAAGACCCAAAAAGAGGCAATGAGAAAGGAAGTTACCATCACTTGTAGGAGGAGGGGCTGGTGCTGCAGATTGGGCCTCGACATAAGGTGAAACAATGGCGAAAGCAAGTGCCAGAATAACCATTACACCCGTTAAAGCTCCTGAAGATATCCCTGCCATTTTTCCTCAACAAATCAGCTTGTAAATTACTAACCGGCGGGCAATAAGAGAAATGCAAGAAACCCCAGAGCCAAATAAGGAAAGCTTGGAGAGAAATGGTTGAGAGATAAAGTTAGATTTAAATACAGAGGTTGAGGCTATTATTGGTTGAATAGATTCTATTGTAAGCAGTATGATCGAGGACCTAGAAATAAGCTGTTTTGTTGAATGTTTTTTTTTTTTTTAGATTATTTTATTTTGTTGAAGTGTTAATTATAATATAAGTGGTTCTTTTTCAATATTTCTGTTAAGACAGACCGTTGATGGGATATTGTTTGTTTCAAAGGTTGATATTTGATAAAATCACAACGGATTTCTTGATTATCTTTCAAATTATTGTTAATGGGTAAATTGGTTGTTTTAATTTGATTTTAAAAAATTTAAACATATAATTTATAAATTCTGTAAATTTATTGGTTCTTTAAAATTATAATTAAATTTATATATAAATCTTAATAACAAAATTTATTATTATATCAATTGAAGTCGCATAAAATTGACATAAAACGTTAAATCTTAATTATTTTGTCATTCACTTTTAAAATTTACAAAAATTAAAATTTTCTAATTCCAAAATTAAGAAAACCTGGAAGTTGATTTTACCAATATAGAAATTGCAAGACAACTTATTTACTTTACCCATTTTTAACTGTAATTTTTTGCGGTTGTTACCCACCTGAATCATAACTTTGCTGATTGGAGGGGATAAAATTTAAAAATTCAAATTTGAAAAAAATATTTATTTACAAATAAGTGGACAAATAAATTATGAATATATGTTTATAGCATTTTCTAAATATATATATTATCCAAGCTATGAAAATCTAAACCCCACAAACATGTCTATTTGAATATTATCTGATATATTTAAATAATCATAAACCTTAAACTAACCTCTAAATTTTAAATGTTAAATCTAAACCTTAAAACCTATAATAATCATAAATCCTAAATAAGACACATGGCATCAATACAATCCACTTGTAACATATATTTTTTTCACAGTCGGTGTATGGGATCATAATCCAACTAAAAACCTAATACAGAAAATATATGTATGGGACCATTAATGCATAATGAGCACAAACGAGAGCACATGTATTCGATTGATAGCAGTAGCAGAATGATATTTTCTCGGGTCATACGATTTTAACACACAAACAATACACGAAACAGAAAACAACTTCACGTGTTTTCTTTTACATCAAATACAAAGACAACATTGTTTTTCTTTTGTACAATCCATTCTCCAGAACGCTCCTAATATTGATGTGGTATCCTGGAAGAAACAAATTCCAAGCAGGTGATCTTTATCATTTAATTTTAGGAAAAGTAAAACAGAAATGCATGGAAAACTGCAGAGACACGGTTTGCACTCACACACAATATAGACCCGGTGAAATTACATGGGCATTATGGGCTTCCTCAATAGAGAACAACATTAAACCCTACAGCAATGGCAATGTGGGTTCTATATCAACTAGAGCACGTGTTCGTGTCTCACTAACCCCAACATAAGTAACACCGTAGAACTGAACAACTTATAGTATTACCATTACAACGGAGATAAAGTATCTTTAACAACATGAAAGCCAGACTCTTGACTGGATCAATAGCCCAGAACAGTTATCAACCAGAAATAATCTAAATGTTAAAACGATTTCCTCCTACTTTTCAACACAAACAACTGTGAATCAATCTTAACCTTACAGTCCTTACCTGAGAGAAAACACAATTTCACTCACACTTCCAAATTCGGATCCAGTGTTCCCGAGGCATTTCCTTCTCCAGTTAAATTATTTCCAGGATCCTGCATACAGCATTGTTATCAATGACAGACATAAGGTGCTCAAAATTGGAGAAGTCGGGACTAGCAAGGCACATACCTCCATTCCCCATCTAATATAATCCGGTGATTCACAAGCCTTGTACTCATCAACCAGACTTTCAATTATATCCCTTGCTTCATCAAACTCTGAAAGATCATTGTCCTGTCCACATTGGCAAATAGATTAGGATAAAATGTCATTATAATGCAATTGCTTTTGCATCCGAATGGGAAATATTATTTGATTTTGGAAGCAAAATAACATGTAGCACAACAAACAAATAGCACTAAATATTTTATTCATGGAACTCGGATCTTTTAACCAATCTATAGAATTAACACACGTCTCCAGGTGCATGTAAATAGATAGGTTAGCAACTTACATGTATATGCATAAAACACAAGCATAAAATATTTCATAGGTTCATAACAACACAAACAAAAAGCTTGGTGCCAGAAGTCATAAATAAGAAACTGGAACAGAAATAAAACAATGAAAGCCAGCAATAAGGTGTTAACTCACTGCAAACATTGGGAACTTCCGATAATTGTCAAGAAATGCTTGCTTCTTTCTCAACTTCTCATACTGGCTCAAACATTTACTGAAGAGGTGTCGGATACTGGTGTGACTTGCTAGCATAAGACCACTCACCTGATCCAGTTAACATGAACTTCTTTATTCTTTCTCAATTTATTTTTTCAAAAAATATGTCCAACAAATAGGGCCACGTTTAAGGAGATAAAAAAATACTTCAAGTTGTTATATTCAGACAAAATATTGCAAATTGTATAATACAGCAAAATAAGCAATCAGATCTCAAAAGACAAGATTTAGAGTTGTACCCTATGGGCAGTCTGGACATACGGGGACTTTCTAGAAAGAGCAACCTACAAAAGCAACAAAATATCAAACAAATGATATTAGTCCAGATATCATAAGAAAGAAGAATTAACCAAAGTGAGGAGAACTGCTTCAACTATCAAGATACCTGAATACTTGCAGGGCCCCACTCAATAAAATTTACTAGCTTTCTTTCACGAATCCTCTGTAGACTTTCATGCACCTGATAAAAGGCGAGAAATTATTTAGCTTTAGCAGCTTAAACCAGTAAGAAGATACTGAACTATAATAAAACATGTCAAAATTCAAATGCCCAATATCACTTTGAAAGGTAAACCTGCCGAACCATAATAAAATTTTAGGACTGTCAATCGAAGAGCAAGATGTTTGATAATCTCTCGGTAAAGAAAAAAATACACGCATTCACGGGCAAAACCTTAGAACTAGTTCCAACCTTATAACAAGTTCCACTTTTTTAAGCAAAGATATACTAAAACTGCTAAGGAATGCAAATGTTATCATTATGGCCAAAATCAATAGAAAAATAATTTTCTTATACAAAATTTAACTGCAATGGTTAATAGATATATTTCCTGCAAAAGTTATAGCATTTGTATAAGCATAATCTACAATACCTGTGTAGGATCTACTTCTCCCTGAATAATATTCAGTATAGAAATATACTTTGCTTGACTAGCTTCTTTTGTACGTGCATAAGAGGAAACCATGATATTTTTTGACTGCAACAAAGCATACGGTCAGAAAAATGCAATCTGTTTTGCAAAGAAAAGACAACTTACACATCTTACCTGGAGAAGTCTTCTCATAACATCAAGGACAGTAGTCTTGCGTATCACATTAGCCTGCCAAGAAGGGAAACAGTGGCATCATATTGCACCAAAATTTCTTTCTTACAGCATATGACTATACTAAAAACATTAATATACAATGATGTGAAACTCTGAAAAAGCAATATGACAAAAATAAATGCTATAGTCAAATAATCAGCTGTACAAATTAGATAATATGAGAATTGAACGCACCTGGCGCTCCACTGTAAGTGGTGTGTAACCAGTCATAAGAAAATGACATCTTGGTGTTGGAATTAAAGAGGCAAGAAGACCAACCAAATCATTGTTCATGTACCCTGGGTACCGCAAAGTAGTTGTGCTTGCAGACATCACAGTGGAGACCAAAGAATTTGTTTGAGCAAATGTAGGATTAGATAGATGTAAACGCTCGACAGCAATTCTATTTAGTGCAGTATTGTCAAGAACAACAACACAATCAGCATTTAAAGTTAGTCGCTTGAGAGTCAAAAGTGAGTTGTAGGGTTGGACCACCACATCACTTGTCTCCATCTGATTAGGAAATACACTATATGTCTGGACCAGCTTCTTGCTGTAGCGATCATTCAGAGCCTCCAACAGATAGGAGCCCATACCTTCATTGTAGAATGAAAACAATTAAGTTGTAACCAAGCCAAAGTCTTCAAGAAAATTTCACTAGCTTATGATGAATATAAGACCGTCTATGGTCCTAATTTTAGCAGCCAAATCAAGCAAACATATAAACAAAGAGAGAAAAAAAAAGGAAACTTTAAAGCATCAATTAGAAATTCTAGATAGGCCAAAAGAGATTGATAAAAAGGAAAAAGATGAAGATAATAAGAGGAAACCTGAGCCTGTCCCTCCGGCAATCGAATGACATAAAACAAAACCCTCAAGACTGTCACTTCCATCAGCTTCTCTGTCAATCATGTCCATTATATCCTCTTCAACACCCTTTCCCTGTATCAAAATCATGAAATAAGGAATTGGATTTAGATAAAAGATTATAGATTGGAAAGAGAACAATCATATAACACATATTTCATGTCACATCTTTACACAGAGATTTGCAATATACTTGATTATCTATAAAACCAAGAAAAACATGAAGACAGAATGAAAAAGAAAATGCCGCCAACCTCAATATTTCATGTAACCATTTATCCATTCTGCTGTAAATAATAATTAGTAATTACAGTTAGTAGGAAAAATCCACCAAAATTTTCCTAACATGTTAAAATAATCCACAGAAGCCGCTTCCTACAAGGCTTTTGACTGTTGCTTGAAACACGCTATAATGATGATACAAATGAGAAGGGAAACAAAGGTTAAAAAATTACTTGAATATAAGCACCAAAAGTGTAAAGGTCCAAGCATCAATGAACTTATATATTAATTGAACATTACTAAAGCAGAACTCAAAAGAAAATACAAGTGAAACTACCTGATGATATCCGCTGGCCCAATTGTTTCCAGCACCTCCTCCGTGATCAGCAACAAAGATGTTCTCGTGATTGTAGAGATTTCGATATTCACCGTTTTGAATTCCATTAATAACTCTAGGTTCCAAATCTATGAGTAAAGCCCGTGGTATATAATGCTGATCATCAGCTTGGTAGAAAAAGACATCTTTCCTGTCACCTCCCTGCATCAACCGTGCTGAGCAAATTAAAACTCTTGAGAATTGAGATACTGATGTTTAACTCGCTCAGTTCGAGCGACTCACTACATATTCCTTTACATCTCACATAAAATTATCTCGATATCAATAAATTATGGGGCAATTTATACCTAATGAAACTTCACAAAGTAATCCGACAGTTCAATTAACAAGTATTGTATTTCAAAAACATCACATACATTGTATACTTAATAAATCTACCTAAAACAAACAAAATCAAAATGAACTTTCATAATTAGCAGGTAAGTAAAGCTTTAGACAATAAATGCTAATAAAAATAACAGTCATACGAGAAAACTCGAAAAGAAAAAGAGAACCTGAGTAGCGAAATCTTCAAGAATGCCTTCTTTGCTGATGCCGTGTTCGAGGCAGAGCTGTTTCCAGAACTCCATTCCGATCTGGTTCCCACATTGTCCCACCTGTAGCGTGATGATTTCTCTTGGCATTTTTTCCTCTGTTCCTTTCTACTGAAACTAGGGTTTGGGTCGAAAGGGTATATCCAGAAGCTTAAAACAAAAGGGAAAATACGAGGGATTTTTTTCTCTTTAAAATGTTTGGTGTTTCCGGCAGTGCAATTCACTTCGGCTTTTATGTAGTAGGTATATTAGGGACTATAAATGCTGAGCCCGCAACCGTTTATGGGCACACGCTTGATTTGTATATATTTATGGTTGTATATCTTCATAATTTTATCTTCATAATTAGAACTAATACACACATTTTTAAATGAACAAATTTAATATTATTTGAATTGGTATCTTATTATTATAATAATTTAAAAATTATCAATTAAATTAAATTAAATTAAATTCAATTAATATTGTTATTAGTCCAACATATAATAACTCATATAGACCGAATATACTTGATACATATCTCTGAATCGATTCACTGTGGCGGCCACCGGTTAATGCATTTGTTAACAGATCTACAACTTGAATAACCGAGTAGATTTGTAAACAAAACAAAAGTTTGTATACATAAAAATATGATCCACTTATGGTACTTCGATTTCTACCATGGTTACCGGTAGCTGAAAAACCAAGACAATATAAGCCTGAGATTCCGGTTGCATTTTGGACTGGCGATGCCAGGCTTCTCGACTTCGACTGAATCCACGATTCGGTTCATAGCCATTTCTTTTTCAATCTCTCCCCAGCTGACTGTCATGGCCATTTGAATGAAAATTTAACAAATTAATTTGAAGCAATCCCTATCATGCCATAAGGTTCAGCAGTAATATATGAATTTTCATTTATAAGAGAATGCAAAAGAATTACATACTTCAGAAAAAAGAAAAAGATGTTTGCTGGTCATTATGAATCTGTTTTAGGATCAACTGGAACATGGCTCTCTGGATCTGATTTAATTGTCGACGGCATGTCTACAAGCATATTCGGAGCAGCAAAGTACATATGTAGTGACATCATGCATATAATGATCCCCAAAAAAAGCTGCAAAAATGCAAGAACAAAAAAGTAAATGACCAAAAGGTTAGAAAAATACAAAGCAAAACTAGTTGGGCTGCACCACTGCAGGGGGAGCTGTGAGTAAGTTTCTGTATGTTTCAGGAACTATATAGAATGATTAAAACAGAAAGGATAGCAAATAGATTTTGTAACAAGTTTATAAATTATTCTGAATTACATGCGTATTTGCATTAAACATGATAGTAAACATAGGCCTACATCCAGGCTGGAATACTATATTAAAATAACACACCTATATATGAAATTAAAGGCCGGATTTCTTGTTCAGACTACAGCAAGGAAGCATACCTGAAGTGTTGGCTTGAAACTGAAGGGGAACACGGATAGAACCATTGTTAATAGCATGGCCATCGATGTGGAATACACCTAAAGGAATAAGTGAAAACAAATAGCTGTTAAATTAAATGGGGGAGGGGTGAATTCACCATCCAAAATTTCAATAATCATTAAGCAGTTAAGAAAATTTAGAAACATAAAACATATCAAGGAGAAATCACCAAGTTCAAACATAAAAACACAAAAGATATATGACGAAATGAAAATTACCATATGCACACATAAATGCAAGGAGAATCAAAGATAGCCAGAAAGAGGGTACCTTGACTATATTGTCAGCATATTTCATTAACCATGAAACCAACAGCCCAGTAGAACCTAGATTTAGCATAACCAACCAAGTTGTGATATTATACCCATTAAACAGCCGTTGCCACCAAGGTCCTTTCTCAAATCCACCTCTAAAATCATCCATTACCAGCCGTGCCATATTGAAGATTGTACCAAACCTGGAAGAGGAGTCAGATCAGAATAAATCAACCAATGATCATATCAATCACTTTAAATGGCTTGGACATTGTAATATATTGATTCTGACCATATAATCACAAAAACAAAATAGGTAAAAATGATAGTTTATACTCGTAAAACTAATTTATGCAACTAACATGGGAAAAGATTTTGAAAAAAATAAAAGGGAACCTACGTGTATAACTGTATATTCTGCCAGTATAAGCTGTCATTGTTCTTCTTCATCAGGAACTCTGTATAAACACCAGCCAATGCCGAAAGACAAGCAGACAAAATTCCTAGCATGTATCCTTGAATTGGTACTGAGAAGAGGGAATCGCATGAAGCCTCTCCACAACCTTTGACCTTGATAAGACAGAAGAATAATTTGAACTATATACTTCACTAAATTATTACGAGAAAAGAGTTTGCAACAAGAGAAAACAAGTTATAAAAAATTCTAGGAGACTTCTTCAAGAGCATAGGTGATTGGTCCTAATGAGTTACAACAGCTTCCTATAAATATAGCATTCCTTGAAGTTCACGTTTTGACAGACTAATTTTCTAACAGCCAAGAAATATTGATCTGGCATCAAAGTGTTACTAGTCTTCCAGCACAATAACTGGTCAACTAGCCATAAACTTTTCTTGCATAAAAAATCAATGTAGCAGAAATCACAGTGCAAAAACATAAATGGTTTAGTTCGGAATGTGGAGTACCTGACTCGTGGTCGTTCCAACAGCCAATAAAACAATAGCCATCCACTGTAGATTAGAGGGCTTCTTCTTAAGAAACAACCTAAATCAATGAACGACAGCATCTACTATTTCATGAGAACATGAACACCAAAAAAAAGAGAAAGCTCAAAATTCAGACACGGAAATTAAGAGTAGCCCACCTAAATAAAATTCCAGTAGTGACAATTTTCAAATTGCCCATTATCTGATACGTAGAAGTCTCGACATACTGTAGACCCCAGATTTTGTCCTCATCCCAGCATTACACCAAGCTGCCCCAGAGAACATGTTTCCTACCATTGTCAACTCACAAAGATAAAGATGCATGTGAAATCCAATCCAAATTATGATCACATCACAAGTTGTATTATTTTATGGAAAAGTTATGTAAAATAGGGGTTATAAAACCCGAATGAAAATGTAAGAAAAAGGGGAGGGGGGAACAGAAACGAAGAGAAATAATTGTAAGGGGAGTTCATCTCAGTTTTTTTATAGATTTTCATCAATAAAAATACAGCAGTTGAAACATATTTTGAGCAACTCAAATCCAAAATCGAAAGCAAAAATCCGAAGGGATTTATAATTACCTTGTTGCCGTGGCTTTTATCGGGGTGGCGTTGTACTCGAACGTCGCCAGAAGTCGAAGGGCCAACTTCTATGGCCGGTTGAAGCTTGTATGTTGACTTGGGGGTTGTTTGTATTATTTCTTCTCTGGTTTGAGTTGAGAAGAGAAAGAAGAAGAGTAAAAGGGTGATTTCTTGCCATCTTTTATGTTGGTCTCTTAAACTTTTAGACTATTTATGTTTAAGCCACTTCATTATCACATTTTTTTTAAAACCAGCCACCAAATCCTTGAGTTTAATCACGTTTAGGTCCCTCTAATATTACCTTATTTTTATATTCTAGTCACCAAAGCTCTATATTTTTATTTTATTTTATTTTTGGCGCTTTATTTTCGTTATTTTCAATTCGATCACCAATATGTTATATTTTGTGATGATTTATGCCTGTAACTTTCATTTCCTTTATTTTAGTCACTATTAACTTTTAATTTAGTCACTGTTATTTTAATTTTTTGAATTTAGATCCTTGCTTATTTTTATTTAGTAACTATCTTATGTTTTCTTGCATTTTTAGTTAACATAATTAGGTTTTGGGTCCTTCTATTCATTTTAAATTAATTGTTGAGGCTCTTATTTGTTCATATATATTTATTAGATCCTTCTACTTTAATCCTTTAATTTTTCGTTTGTGTTATTTTAGTACTTTATTTTTTTATTTTTGCTATTTAATCCCTTAAGTTTTTGTTTTTCTTGCAGCTCGTTCTTAAGATTAATTCGACCCATAAATTTTAATTGTTTCCAATTTAATTTTTTAATTTGATTTTGTTTTCATTCCTTTTATTTATTTATTTTATTTCAATCTTAATACTAACTCTTTGTGTTTGTTTGATTTATGATTTTTTAGGATAATTTTAATCAATTAAAGGTAAGTAATTTAAATCGAATCTTTAAATTTTAATTTAAATTGTAATTTTCGCAATTAAGACAACCGATAAATTAAATGGTACCGAAAGGGCAGTTCAAGGGTGCTAATCCTTCCTTGACTGTAACCAACTCCCGAATCCGACATATTTCTGGTAAAACACAAATCATGTAAGATGGTATCCGATCAACCAAATTTTTTACGAAAAATAAATGATCGGTGGTGACTCCAATATTTTATTCCAAGTCGAAGCTAAATTCTGGGCCCACCCGAAAGGCTGTCGCGACAGCTTGGCGACTCCGCTGGGGAGCAGTAAGTGAGTCAGGCCAGAATTAATTTTCGGTTGTCTTTTTATGCGAAAATGGTAAATTTAAATTTAAATTTATTTATTCGATTCCAATTATTTATCTTTGAATATTTTTCAAATAAATAGTTGTGCTAACGTTTTTTAATGTTTTCAGATTTTTCAAAATTGTCATCTCATGCTCTATACCCGAGCTCCGAACCCTATTTAAGTGGGGGTGAAAGCGACGCCTTCGTGAGAATTTATTCTCCGTGCGAGCCTAGCAAGTAACCTTCGGGATTCATATACCTTATGTCTTCGTGTGAATTTATTCACCGTGCGGGCATAAGGGAATGTGTCCTCTTGAGTTTAACTTAGTCCACACAAGCCTGTGATGGGTTTAGAACTAAGGGTCTGGAAAGCCCAAGGGGGCACCGGCAAGGAGAACTCGGGTACCGTTTTTTAGAACCTAAACCGAGAGACTACAGAAAATTATAGTCACCCCAAAACCTCATTTCAAACCCTAGGCTATTTTGAGTTCATTTCCTGCCTTATTTTATGTTCAAAGCATGTGAACTAGAAATTTATGCGGTTAGGACTTGTTCAAAATTAACTTGCGGGATAGAGATCATGTACGAGTAGGAATACTAAGCATGTGGGGTAGATATCATGTGGGGTAGGACTTTTTATTTTCATTATTATTTTTTTATTATCCTTATCTCACTAATTTTTTTCTCATTTCATTTTCCCTTTTTTTTATTGTTCTATTTTATTGTTTATCATTTACATCATTTAAAAGAGGTGTTGATCCATAAAAACGTGTTCGTTAAACGTAAATAATTTGCATTAATAAATGAAGGGGGTTGTAATACAAGAGATGAAAATACAAGGGACAGTCTACAAGGCGACTATGTGTCACATTCGATCCAGAAGACGTTGTGCCCACAATTGAAGAATATATCATTCTGCTGCATTATAAAGGACTCAGAATGAACCGGGTTTACATCAATCACAATGAAAGCCTATATTTGAAGAACTGACTGGCAGAGTTTGCAGGAGCAAGATGAAGGTTACTGATTTTGGGAGTCCCTTCAAAGATAACAATGGTAAAACGATAGCTGAAATTGGAAACCATTGTTGACGAATTCAAGAAATAGACAAATGAACTTCACATAGTTCCTATCAATTGAGGGCTCCAATGACATATTCGATGGGAACAAGTTCAATAAAAGATAAATGCAGAGATGCAGTCATTTGAGACTTCTTGGACCAGTAAAAAAAGCAACTCAACATTTGCACAGTTCATCTAGAGAATCTGGAGAAGTTAACATTTGCACGGTTTATCCAGAGAAGCCGGAGCGGTTTGACAGGTTATTCAACCGGTGACAGACGAAGGCAGAAGACTAGTCAACATGTCAGAAGCTGTCAAGATATTTTTGTCTCTTAAAAGATAAAACACTTTTGTCCATAATAAAGATTATTTATAATAACAGACATGCTTTCGGATCAATGTCTCGAGCATTTCATGCATTTTTGCATATACATTTCATTTTTAAGCATTTTCATAAACATTAAATTTCTTCATGGGGGATTCGATGCAGTGTTCTTAATCACGTGACACCAAATGGAAGAAATATTTTAACAATCTGAAATTAGTATAGTGGGAGCCTGATCAGCTGATTGTAGGGCCAAGCCTGTCAGGATGATCTGAGAAAAGAGTCTCAATATCCTAAGGGCTACGATGTTGAAGCTGCGTACAATTACCACATAGGAAGCTCCAGACATTCCTCTAAGAATTGTAAGGCATTGAAATACAAGATTCAAAACCTGATGGATTCAGGGGCATGAACAATCGAAAAATGGGGCATTGCATCTACCATTTGTACTAAGAGCATTGTTTTGTTTGAACACGTTTTTGATCTTTCATGTTTGCTTAATCTTTTAAACGACTGAATTTATGCTACCTTATAAGGTGAAATAATTGAGCAAATTTAATCTTTAGTTCTTCGAATATTAAAGGAATTAAGGATTCTTTTAATTCTATGAGAATTATAGATTTTTGGCATATGGTAAGATCAAACATTTTTTATCCTTTTCAAAAAAAATCCCTTGATTCTTTACCCAGAATAATCCATGAAGATTCATACCGATACCTTTGAGTCAATAAAGTCACACCATTGTCTTCTTCCACCCAAAACCAACATTTTTTACCAATAAAACCTACAGACGTTGAATGTTCACTTGAATATGAACCTTCATACCAGTATAAACAATGTGGGGCATCTCGAAGCAGTCTTCTGAGGACGAACCTGAGTAATTGAGGCATACCGGGAGCAATTGAGGCATGCCGGGAGCAAGAAGCAGAAAGGAGAATTACTTCGAAATGATTCTATCATACATTAATTACATTATTTTCATGTGAATAAAACTTAATCCTGAAAATCTATCCCCCTGGGGATACCTCTTCTGCGAAGACTTTTGTGTATGAGATGATGAACGGCTTTGTTTCACTTATCCATATATGTATATATATATATATATATCCTTTGTTGTCCCCTTTTGAGCCTATAATATTTTTCTTCTGATTCAACCCTATCCAAGGATCACCCTACACACTAGGGGGTAAGGTGGAAGAAATCTGCTCGCATAAGTGAAAACATCAAATCAGAGGAGATACCGAAAGGTGAACCAAATGCCAAGTGCGAAGATCAAATCAAAGCAAAAAGAAAAGCAAAGAACAAGAATCAAAAAGAAAAGAAGCAAAAAAGAAAAAGCAAAGAAAAAGGGACGAGAGTCGACTCAAATGATACATCGAGCATCAAACTATGAGATTGATCAATCACAATTATTCCTGAATCACTTCACTCGAAGATCATATAACATCAAGAGAGAGACACATACGAGCAGGTTCAAATTGAGCAATACATGATTGACGACATCATAATGAATTGATTCTTGGTTCAATACCTTGAAACACTTGTTTGGGCCTATTTATCATTTTTCTTTCATAACCATGAACCATGGCCTACATTACGTGCCTTGAAAGTCCTTTCTAATCATACATGAATTTCTGAACAGAAGAGAATATCTTCATATTTCATCCCGTCCATCAGGATTAATCTTTATTTGCAAAAAGTTTTCTAAAATCTTTAATGCATGATAGAGAAAAAATAACAAATGGGGGTTCAAGACGTAAATTCTGAATGACGTCTTGAAACCAAAGGAGGATTCGAGTTGAAAACCTGAAAAGGTGGCTTGAATGTAAAAATTGTGCAGCTGAGGCAATCACACAAATTCCATAATAAGGCATTGCACAATGCGTGACCATAAGAGCAGGGAGCTGGCGAACACGTCCAATAGAGGAGTATACAAGCTACCCCATCATATCAATGAACATCAAAGAAATAAGAAGGCCAAACCATTGACCAAACAAAATAACCTGAGACTTTTTTATCATTTCCTTACTATTTCCCAAAGATAGCTTTGATCTTGACACTTGTCAAATAGCTATAATTTATTGAAGGATTAACAGTGTAATTAATTCTTTTATGTCCAATGAACTCTAGTTTTATGATTTGTCTTAAATGTGAAACCTAGAAAGGGGCAATATTTTCAAAACTTTTGATTAAACATTTTTCAAAACTCTTCTAATACATTTTCAAAACTTTTGAAAATAAAAGAAGAAGAAAAACACTTTTCAAACAAGACAATCTCTCTGGGGTGGATCTTGGTATTTGACATGCGGATCTCAGACACAAAGCTCATGCTTAGAATTAGTGCTGAAGCAATCAATGAGGAACAACGGGGCATCTTTAAAGATTCAACAGTAAATGTTGGGGCATATTTGGAGATTCAACATTGAATATTGTGGCATATTTGGGGATTCAACATCCTGATGCAAACGATTAGATCTTCTGAAGGCATTTCCTCCACATGTAGGAAAAGCAAGACAAAGCACGAGGAGATA